GCTGCGAGTGCGTCCGGAGCTGCCAGGCTGGGAGCTGGTGCAGGCCTGCCGCCTGGTGTGCCTGCGCTGGAAGGAGCTGGTGGACGGCGCCCCACTGTGGCTGCTCAAGTGCCAGCAGGAGGGGCTGGTGCCCGAGGGCTGCAACGATGACGAGCGGGACCACTGGCAACAGTTCTACTTCCTGAGCAAGAGGAGGCGCAACCTGCTGCGTAACCCGTGCGGGGAAGGTGAGGGCCACGTATTGGAGTGTCCATTGTCTCGTCTAGAAAACGGCCCTTGGTGCGCGCCCGCTTCAAGGCTAACGCCTGGTGTAATGTGCAGCCCAGAATTGCCAAGATGAAACGCCTGGTGTAATGTGCAGCCCAGAATTGCCCTCTACTCCTTGGGGAGTCTCTTCCCAGGGTGCCCGCTTCCCTGCACTGGGGCAGGCGGGACAGGCCCAGGGCACGCTGGCTCCGGGGGTAGAGTGAGGAAGTGCCTACGGCCCCGTCCTTTATCCTTTGCCCACCACGTCCCTTTTGCCCCCTGCTGCCAAGGCGAAGCAGGGGCTGTGTGACCAGGGTGGGACTGTCGTGTCCCTACAGAGGACTTGGAGGGCTGGTGCGACGTGGAGCACGGCGGGGACGGCTGGAGGGTGGAGGAGCTGCCCGGAGACAGTGGGGTGGAATTTACCCAAGACGACAGCGTTAAGAAGTACTTCGCCTCCTCCTTCGAGTAAGGAGAAGGGACAGGCGGGGGGGGGGGGGCGGGGGCCTGCGGGAGGGGGAGGCCTGTTCCCCCAGGTGGTGTCGCAAAGCGCAGGTCGTTGATCTGCAGGCCGAGGGCTATTGGGAGGAGCTGCTGGACACCACCCAACCCGCCATCGTGGTGAAGGACTGGTGAGGAGCGGTGAAGCAGGGGTCTGCACTGGAGGGGAAGGGGGAATGGTGGTGGGACTAGCGGTGTGCCACACTTTCCGTCTTGTGGCCATGTGGGCCACGGGCCTGCAACGGCTGGCAACGGATAGAAGTCCATTTCCTGCCTTGAGTTTAAAATGGTTTTTTTGTTGTTGTTTTGTTTTGTTTTTGTTTTTGTTTTTGTTTTT